TCTCCTCGTAGTCCTCTCCATCTCTACCCTCATTCCTTTCCCTCCTCTCCACTAACCCCTCCCCTCTTCCTACCTCCCCTTCCCCTCTCCAGATCAGCTCTCCTTCCACTTCCTTAAGCACTCTTTCAATAATTTCCCATACTTTTTCACTCCTAAACCTTCCTTCTGGCACCTTCCCACCTTCCTTCCTTTTGGTCTCTCCCTCCTCGGAGAGCCCGTCTACTGGCTCGGCTACATATTCATGGGCTACAGGACATGGAGCAGGAACGGAATCTGGAACCAAAGACACTGGAGACACATTAGTAGCACAAACCGAAATCACTTGGTTACTTGGGACTGATGGACAAGCTGGAAAAGGACTGCTCCTTGCCTCCCTCTCTTGTTCCAGAGGTTGGTAAATATTTATCTCCCTGGGTTGGTCGGGAAGTACTTCTGTCCTTTGGTCACCCTGGTGATCTTTCCACTCTACCCCTGGTTCACCCCTTGATGGTGTGTTCCTACTTTGCTTCCGGTTCTCCTGGTCTGCCCCTTCTGATCCTCTTTGCACACTCTGTGGTCTTGGGAACGGGTTGTACCGCTTGCCTTCGTCACCCTGAAATAAACTTACAATATTCCACCCATCCACATCACCTCCAGCGCAACTGCCTTCGTCGTTTACATTGCCCAAGCTAGTACCATCAACTAAACAGTCCTCTGAGTCTTCATCACCTTCACTGCACTGCGCCCAGCCTTCATCCTTRTCTTCCTTCTCTTCAGGTCTTCCCTTAACGTAACTTGGCTTCGACTTCTCTGAGGAGCGCCGTGGGGGGCTAAACTCCTTCAGCCTTCGTCGGGAAACCCACTGCAAGTCGAGCTTCTTCTCTGTTTTTCGGCGCTACGCGTGTTCCCCCCCTTGTCTCGCGACTGGGGACGATGATAGACCATTAGCATCGTCTATCTTAGTCGTGTCCCCAATCACGTGAGTTACTAAAGGCTCACGCACCTTCTTAAACCACTGGATCGGGCCCGTTAACCCAAATGGGCCTTTAAACGCACCCAAGACGTTTCAAATGGGCTTTGGCTTTGGCCCATTTTTAAGCCATTGCGACCTCACGTGACTTTTAAAAGAGTCACACGCACTCGGTTTGGTTTTATCTGGTCTAGATCCAATTCTTCCTTGGACCGACTCCATTTCCTTGTTCAAACAGGTCAAGTTGGCGTCGGTTACAACCTGTGCAAAGGACCTGCCACCCTTCAGACTGTTCACTGCTCCCACACGCATAAAACCCACCCTCTGAATGCTACCCTTTTGTTTCTCCAGTCTTGGTTTTTCCATTTTTGTGAAAGATCTTTTCTTGTTTGAATCAACCAATCCCAGTCTTGGGTTCCTCCCATCATTAAGGCTTTTTGTTTTTTTTAAAGAGTTTTGGTGGCTGGTTTTCCTTGACAAGGTGCTCATCATTGACCATATGAATCATAAGAGGATTGAAACTAGGGCTGGTAATCTTGACCCCAACCCATTTGACCCACCCAACCCACCCACCTT